GTGAATGTTCGCTCCAAGGGCTTACACGCGACTGAAGAGGAATTGCTGTTTTGGACTCCCCTCCAGTTGTCATCTCGTGGAATTGATGTCTTCAGTAAAGTTAATTATTTCTTTAATAACGTTAATTTAATGTGGGAAGACTGCATTGCTGGGTTTGTGGATGGAACTCCAGCTATGTTGAGTCATGCAAGTGGTTTTTCGGCTTTGGCGAGAGAGGATAATCCAAAAACCGAAGTTAACCACTGTATGATCCGCCTCCAGGCACTGCTCCTGAAACATTTGGAACCTGTCATGCATGGTTTTATCAAGGTTGTCGGTGTTGTCAAAGGATCTGCACTAAGCATGCAACTATTTCGTGAGGTTTAATAAACAAATGTACTTTATCACACAGAGACGAGATAGCTCTCATGTGGAAATGTTCTGAACCGAGTGTGGGCTCTCAAAACTGAACTTGAAACTATCATGGTTGATAGAAAGCATCTTCTCGCAGATACGTTTGCAAACTCCTCGTGGTTTTCCATTTCGCATATTTAGCTGACACTGTAGAGTGTGCGATGAATGCACTGAACAAAGAATTTCAAGGTAAAAACGTCAATATAATTTCAGCTAGAGAAATGATTTGAGTGTTTCGATCAAAGTTTTTATATTGAAGACAGAAAGAAGAACAAAACAAGTGAGCTTTTTTTGGAAGATTGTGAACATACCACTTTTGACGGCATCAAGGATACACTTATAAGGCATCTTACCAATCTTAAAGAGCGGTTCTCTGATTACTTTTCAGATCGTGATTCGCATACTGCCAGTTGAATTATGGATCCTTTTAAATGTGAAATTGCTGACCTACCAGAAGCGCCTCAAAGACTGGCAGAGGCACTTCGCGAACTTCAAACCAACAATGAAGCACGCACTGAATTTGAAAACAAAGCAGATCTGTCAGATTTTTGGATGACAAGAGCTGCAAATACCTTCACAATTACACATGAGGAGAGAGACAGAAAGTTGCTGCCTTTTGCAACAACCTTGTTTAGCGAACACAGATTTTTCACTCTATCACCATCTTCATCGTCCATCGCCGCTTCTCCTTTCGAGTCGCGGAGGCAGACGCGTGAGAAAGAGCTTCCATCGTTCCCGATCTTGTGCCAGAGACTGAGCTTCGGCAAAAGACAAATGCAGTCTGGAACAGAATCCTTCCATATGTTTGCACCAGGTTAATCGTGGCCATCCCAAGGGCCTTCTGCCGGTCGGATTTCCAAGCAACAGTTGTTTAGCCTTCCTTTCTGGAGGCATTTGCAACACATGCCCGAACCATCGCAGCTGTGACTTCTCAATTTGGACAAGCAGAAGCTGTACTCCAAAGCTCTTCTGGATGACACTATTCCAGACCATGTCGAGACGCGTAAGGGCAGCGACTCGTCTACGAAGGCCCATTTCAGCAGCTCGTACCCGGGTTCGACCTTTTCCAGTGATGGTCCACGATTCATGACCGTAGGTAAATAG